GAAGAATAGAAACTGGCCAGTCGAAATTTTTATTTAAATTAATCAAGTGACTGAAGAAAATGCTGAAAAATCATGGAGACGAATATGAACACGCCAGGGGTTACTTAGGGTGAAAGAGAATGAGAAGACATTATGGAGTTGGAAAGGACAATAAAAGAACGGGTTTCAGGAAGACAGAAGATGGCGATTGACGTTGCATTTAATTTTTTGAAGATTGTAGATGGCAGGGAAGCAAGAAATCGAAACTTTGACAGGCGAGAAGGGCGGGGAAAAAAACAGTTGAAATAGAAGAGACGGTTACATTTAGCTATGTCAATATTAAAACAGTGAGACCTATTTGCCAATCTAGTAGCAGGCTTAAATTCATCAAGTCGGGGCACTAAGGTAAAAGGTTCGTCTGAATAGTTGACCTGATTAGATAGATAGATAGATAGATAGATAGATAGATAGATAGATAGATAGATAGATAGATTTGAATAGACTGGGATAGATAGATAGATAGATAGATAGATAGATAGATAGATAGATAGATAGATAAGTTCATCTATCGCTTGGGTCACACTCTTCCCCATCTTTTGAACAAAAGTAGGGGTCTATCTCTTGTTTCCTGTTTAGGATTGGGTTTCCGGTTCCTCCTGTCCTTCTAACATCTCCGCCTAGTGTCTGAAATTTATCATATTTGGTGTCTAGTTCCTTCTAAAGTTTTTTTAATTTCACTTTTACTAATCAATATATATATATATATATATATATATATATATATATATATATATATATATATATATATATATATATATATATATATATATATTGATTAAATTGATACAATTCCAGAAATATTTTTTTTACTATTTTGTTTTGTTATAATGATGGGCATTTATATTTTCTCGATGTCTAACATAGAAACCGTTGGGTGTTATATTTAGATAGTAACCTAATAAATAATGAATGCATATCTGAATAATAATAACTTGTTAGAAACAGGTAAATCGCGCTATGATGTTATGTAATATCAGTACTCTTGTATGGCAGTGAATGCTGGACAATTTCCGGACAGCTGAAATGGGCACTGGAGGCAACCGAGATATGTTTCTACAGAAGAGCCAACGACGCCACAGACCTAATATCTATGTAAAAAGATTGTCATAAACAAGAGAATGAAATTTGTAGGATACCTAATGAGGAAAGAGGGCTTAGAGAATTTGACACTCACAAGACATACTGAAGGCAAGAGTAATCTATCCAGTGAGCTTGTATAAACGGGTGGCCAAACAGGGATTGGAAAGGATAATAAAAAGGGAAAGCATAGGAAGTTGTGGAGAGCCATTATCATCTACCTAACAAGCTTGTGTAGATGCTGGTAGAAGAAGGTTTGGAAAGGATAGTAAAAAGGGAAACATTGCTAAGAGCTACAAAGGATAGGAAGTTGTGGAGAGCCATTATCATCTACCTTACAAGCTTGTGTAAATGGCTGGTAGAACGGGGATTGGAAAGGATAGTAAAAAGTGAAATATTTCTAATAGCTACAAAGTATAGGAAGTTATGGAGAACCATGATCACTCTCATCCTAAAGAATAGGGTGCGATGGTTACATTGTCGCCATTTTCTATTTTTAGTTTCGCACATGCGCGTTGTTTGTTTTTGATTTTGTCAGTGGTGTAGAGCCAGTTGGACACCCTCTGTGAGAAAAAGACCACCAATTTTTTCCTGATTTTTCCAACTTTTTGGAACTTTCCTCCAGCAATATTCATTCAACTTGCCTTTCTATTTCAGTTATTATTATTATTATTATTATTATTATTTCTTGACTTTACATGCTCACCAAAGGTAAGTTGTGATGTCACTGGAGATTGTGAGAGAGGATAAGTTACTTTAGATCTGCAGCACCTTCCGCAGTATCGTCGGTGACCTCGACATTGTCGTTGCCTGAACAATATCTAACCTTTGAATATATTACTCAATTTTCTAGTGATTTGGCACGATTCCAAGTGCTCGTGCTATTATCGGTATGATCGATACTTTCATATTACACAGCTGTGTCAATTTCCATCAAGGCTTCTTATTTTTTTCTATTTGCGGGTGTTTTTTGGGTGGGGGCAGTCTTTAAACTTCAATGCACACTGTTCCTGACTATCAGACATGCTATTATATATATATATATATATATATATATATATATATATATATATATATAAAAGTACATTTGGACATCAGGGTCGCGTTTAAACATCTTTCATTAAATATGGCAGACAAGGATAAATTGAATTAATTATTGAGTTTTTCCAGCACCCATAAGTTTGCTGTTTTTATAGGAGGAAGGAGAAATTTTCCATAATTTGCATTGTCTTAAGCTTTTCGGCCATCTCTTATCACCTATATTCAATAAAAAAAGATATATATATATATATATATATATATATATATATATAATAATATATTGTGTGTGTGTGTGTGTGTGAGTGTGTGCTTGTGTGTGTGTGTATGTGTGTGTGTGTGCTTG